ATTTAAGTGTGGACATGAAAAACAGTACTAGAATCGAGGAGTTTAAATATAAATATAAATGTATGTGTCATTCAAGATACATGCAAGAATAAGAGATTTAATCAAGAATGCATGAAGGAAACACTCTGTTTTAAATTTTCTGTGTATTACTTGTCTGGTGAAGAATTACCTATGTAGAGATACTGCTTGCAGCCAATGATGCATGAAATTTTTTGTATAAGATGATGTTATGGGGTAGGACTGGATAAGTCTGACTTCTTCCTACTCCATTCAAACATGTACTAGGTATAAGCAAACTGATTCTGGATTAGCATTGGTTGGATTTGTGTAAATTATGTGTGTGTGTTGATATCATTTGTTTCTACATGTTTGAAAAAATAAATCAAATCAAATCAATAATAAAAAGTAAGTGATATTGTACACTGGTATGCAGAGTATTCACAGTTATTAAGTGTGTGGTTTGTCAACTTGGTGGGGGTCACGCTCTTGAGGTGAAGCAGTCTGTCACCAAGTCCAGTGCTGTCAGGGTCTCATGCATTCGGTTCGGAGTCCTTCTCAAGCAGGGACATTAGCTTGGTTAACATCCTCAAGGAGACTTCCCAGGACAGAGTTTGCCTTCTTGACCAGTTTTTTCAGTCTATTCCTGTCTGAGGTTTAGATGCTTCTGCCCCAGCAGACCACTCCATAGAAGAGGGATGACGCCACTACTATATCGAAGGAGGTCCTCAGGAGTGTCCCCTGCACTCCAAATTACCTCAGGCTCCTCAGCAGGTAAAGCATGCTCTGGCCTTTCTTGTAAAGTGCCTCAGTGTTGTTTGACCAGACTAGTTTGTTGTTGAGGTGAACACCCAGGTACTTAGGAGTCCACTCTCTCATTCCCTGGATGTTCACTGGTGTCAGAGCTCTTTTGTCTTCCCCATATTCCCCACTGGAGGTGGTTCCACAGACACAAGTCCACAAAGTCTTGGATCAGTTCTCTGTACTCCCCGTCATCCTCATCTGTGATGAGGCCAACAATCGCAAACGCATCAGAGAACTTTTGCAGGTGATGATTTAGGGAGTTGTACATGATGTCGGCATTATACAGGGTGAAGAGGAATGGTGCCAGGATTGTTCCATAGATGAGCTCACCAGAAAATGGAGATGGACAAGGGCCAATCTTTCCAGTGTCATCATCAAGTGCCATATCTGTGCCAGTAGCTGTTGAGGTCCTTTGGGTGCTGTGTTTGCAGCACCTGTACCGCACAGGATGTTTTCAACAGTTGTGGTACTCTCCTCAGCATCAGGCTCATGTTGAATATATACACAACTATCCCACACAGCTGACCTACACATTACTTTAGTAGCCTGGATCTGATGGTATTCAGACATGCATCCTTCTATGCATTGATCTTCCTAAGCTTATCTCTCACCTGGTCTGTTGTAAAGGCCAGACTGGAGCAGGAGGGCAGAGTGCTGGAGTGTGTGGGCAGAAGGGCTGGGCTGCTAGCAGGGGCACCAGTGGGGGGTGGCTGTGAGCTGGAAGTTGTGAAGAGGGTGTGTGTGTGTGTGTTACAAATGTAATTGCAAATGTATTCCGGCTTTACAATCTGCGTTGATCTGATGTGTTCTGTCACTTCTAGATTCAGGTCAAAAATGAACAGTTGAATTCATTCTAGTAATGCTTTAGTATACAGTTTGTAGTGTAGATTTTCCTACCTGAGAGAACAGGCTCTCCAAACTTGTTGCCATAGTCTGATGCTCCATCACTGGCCTCGATGGCCACCTGCAGTGGAAGGGCGAAGCTCAAAGGATATTCCCACCCTTCTCCTTCAGACTCCCATGGTAGAACATAACCTATAGAGGACAGCAAGAAAAGATGTGCCGACTGTTTGTATGAAGCACAATTCAAGTTGGAGTTCTGTGTCTCTAAACAACTACAGTAGGTCACTTCATTGTCCTTTGGATCTGATAGTACAGAGTGTTTGCAGTTCAAGGCCCTGAAACTCTGCAACAACCTACCTGAAGATTGGTTAAATTATTAAAATATATTTTTTAAAGCCTCTCTTATATCCAGATTAGATTTGTATTATTTTCTACTAAAACTGGTTTCATTTCACTGGTTTCCATTTGTGTAACCTGGGTTTTGAAAAGTGCTTGATTATGACAAATCTGACCTGGTATGTGCAGGTTGCCAAAGCAGTATCCCGCAGTGCCAGCGATGACGTGACCTCCCCGTCCAGCACTCTGGATGTCTCTGATACGACCTCCTGTCCCTGTGGTGGCACCACTGAATGGTGCTACACCTAGAGATTGGGTTTAAAGGGACTGCACATTATCACTTGCAAAATAACACATAAGGGGAAAAGGGCCATAAATGTTGAAAGTATGCATAGATTGTTATGTTTGCCCTGACCAGTTGGGAAGTTGTGCGTCTCTGCAGTGAAGATGACATGTCGTAGTGAACGTTGTGTCTCATATGGGCTGGCCTGGGATGGATCCGTTGGGTAAAGACACTCCAACTCCATCCCTTTGATACCGCTGGGGACACATTTCATATCAAGTCAGTGTGAACAGAAATACACACAGAGTACCTGCGGTTGCGGTGTTGCTTCCACTCCTACAATACCTGCTGTTGTCGCTGAACTTGATGACGTTGTTCTGGTTGCTGTGGAGCTGGGTGTCCATTATGAGACTGAAAAGAGTCTCCTTCTGCTCCTGCTCCTCGATCACCATCCGCCCCCGAAAGAACCAGTGACGACTGTGCTCACTGCGACACCATGGTGCAAAGAAAGCATTAAAGAATAAAAACACCCAGGAACAAAACTACAGAGCCAAGAAACACACATGCGACACAAAGCCTGTCCTGCTAATCTGCTTGTTGCAAACACACCCACCTGTTGGACTGGGCCAAATCAAAACACTCCACACTGGTGGGGTTCCTTTTAATTCTCTGAAACATCGATGTGTAGTAGTCCAGATCCCAGGAATCAAAGGCCAGACCTGGGTGGTCAAGCAACAAAAAATGAGATCCTGAACACACAAAAAGACCTAAAACAATCAGGAAGGAAAGATACGGTATGAAACATAAATTCTTGCATACTCGTTTAAACAGCACTGACACACTAGTTTGTAACCATGCAACACTGGTAAGATGTAGAAACATAGACATTCACACACACACACAGTGAGATCACTTCCAAACAGTATTTTATATTCTCTGCATGTTTCATGAAAACAGAAACCCAAAAGCTGTGTGATTTCTGCAGAACCTAACCAGATACTGGTATTGTGAAAGGACTGTTACTTAAAGTATTTGCTGCTTTAAAATATCATGTCACCTATAAACAATGTGTCCCTTCCATTAAAAACCGTTTAACTCAGTTGGGGAAGCAAAATAGTGAAAGCAAAATCAGTATCAGTCCTTAGGGAGAACAGCTATAGCATCAACAAATTACAAAGAGATCATTTTAATTCTGTCCTCAATTCTACTTGAGGACAGAAGAGGCCTGTGGTGTACTGTACTGAAATTACTCTCATCTGTTTGAGCAGCTGGTGAATATTGATGAATCTGGGCACAAGTAAATAAGCAAAGCATGACCATAAGCACGCAAAACACATTCTGCTGCAGTGGCCAGTGTCACTTTGAAACCTGTTCATAGAAGAGAGGAACACTGTGAATAATCAATGTCGACACATAATGAAAAAATGTTTTAGTAATTACGGTAGTAGAAAGTAAAACTGTTACCTTCTGAGTTTATAGCTGGATTATTACAACCAAAAAGCCAATTATAATATTCAAAACTTGAGTCCTAAAATAGGCCATAAATTCAGCTGTCAGCTGGATAGACAATAACTTGACTTCAAAGTCCTGATACTGATAAACTGAATAAAAAAAGTCACTATCTCATTCCCATTAAATAGATGGAGTCTATATCTCTTTTTGGATTTTAATTGTTTTCACACCACATCACATGAAACACACACCTGCACATGTATGATAATTAGCAGCATCACAGCTATCCTGTGACTATAACCAGCTGATTAATATGTCATGCATCATGTGACATTATTACCACCATCAGCAGATACTCACAAATAGCTGCAAGACTACAAGGAGGCGTTAAAAAGAAAGAGAGAAGAGAAACGTTACAGTACATTAAATATGATAAGACAAGAGTCTAAGTAATGAAAGTAAAGAGTTTGAGGCAGAATGGTGCAAAGAGAAAGTACAAACAAAAAAACAAACAAACAAAAAAAAACCCAGTCTGACCCAAATCATCATTTGCTCTCTCCAAGGCTGCACGACCCTTCCCCAAGATGTCCACCTCAAACACAGGCTGTGGTTTGGTTTCCACGGTAAAGGAGGTGATAGGATGTTGATAGATACACTCTGTCATGCTGTCATACAGACACTCAATCAGCTTCTTTACATCTCTGTTCAGCTCGTTCAGGCTCCCTCCGCTTTGGGGCTGAGAGGAGAGAGAAGCAGGGACAAGAAAATGCTCCTGAGTCAGTACTCACCAAAATGATTCTTGTGTGTGTGTGTGTGTGTGTGTGTGTTTCTGTGTTCAAACCTTGATTAGAAACCTGCGAGACAGCTCGACCCGGGTGACATGAGTGAGGCCAGTGCTCTTGCAGATGGACACAGCATTAGTGGACCAGGCGGTGGAGAAGTTTAACCTGAGGAACAAAACAGTTTCAATACAAACTGTTTAGAGACATTTTCTATAGTTGCACACTGATGTTTACCTCACTGGTGTTGTGTTCTTCCAGGGTCACTGATTAAAAATTTGAATTTCCTGATTATTATCGAAAATAAAATCCTATGTTTATTTTTTTCCTCCCACAGTCTGACAGACTCAGATTATCATTAAAGATTTCCATATTATCTTCGAGTGGAGACAGTGAACATCTACTCACTTCACATGAAAATCATTCTTATATTTCAGTTTTCTTATTTATCCGAGCTGGTATAAGCAGCTACACTGATCAGCCATAACATCACCACTGACAGGTGAAGTGAATAACATTTATCTTGTTACATTGCCACACTGACTGCTGTGTACACAGTATTAGGCAGCAGGTGGTCATAAGGTTACGGCTGGTCGGTGTATACATACAGAAAATGCACCATGTACATCCTGCACAGCATGCCCAAGCTGACAGTAATTACAGGAAGTAAACTGTACATCTGTATAAAACTTTATGTGGACTGTATATATGGAAATCTTCTTTTTCCCTCTGCTGGGGGAAACTCTATATGTGATACGTTTTGTCTTTTCAGGGCGTCAAGCCTCTACTGCATTTGGCAGGAATATTCATATATTAAATATATTAAAATCTAATAGCTATATTACTATGACACATCCTGAGCATGATCCTTAGAGGATGCACCTTCCAAATTTTGGAAACTTTAACTTTTCTGTGGCACTGTTCTCATGCCACACTTTACATTTGAGTCCCACTAATGACATGAACAGAATAATCTTGAGAATAATGCTTTTATTCTGTACTATTGGACACTGGAGTCTAAGGCTCACTTGTAGGGAACAGTGCATATTCACTTTAAATTTTTAACTGTACCTATGTATATGATAAAATTCATACACCAGTTTGTTCCAGTGTTTTAAATCAATTAACAACAAACAACCCAGTCCAAATATTCAAATGATATTGTAACTGAGCAGAGTTTTATACTTGGGTCACTCATGTCACCTCCATAACAATGGAACAAACTACAACTCCTGATGAAGACCATGAATGTAGCTGAAAGCTCAGGATCCTTGCTTGTCAAGAATGAACATATTGAAACCTGGTATGAATATGTGAGTCTTTTCATGTACATCTCAATTGAAATGCTTTAGAATGTATTCAATATAATAATTACAACAGATCCGCATGCAGGATAAATGCTGAGCCCCAGGATGTGTTTACAGGTCATTTATTCCACTGTGAGGTGCAGCAGTACCTGGGTCCAATCTCCACCAGTTTCTCCCCACTACCCTCCGTGAGGTTCGGTTTCTCAGACAATAGTTCTGCCTCCAGGGGAGGACGAAATAACCAGAGGAGAATCCCCTTCTGCTCTGCACTGAGGCTATCACAGTCTGAAGCAGAAAGCAGGAGTAAACTATCAGTACATAAATGGATAAATGAAGATAACAGAGAGGTACACAAGATGAGAGCATACAATTTCTGTCCGACTGTCCACAACCTCCACATTTTAAATTACAAGCCCCTTTACAGACCAGCTGTTACACACTCACCCGTCAGCTCCACATTGTAGCACAGCTCAGTGGTGATTGACAGCTGGGGGTAGAGCTTGGCTGCCCTCTGTATGGCCCGCCCACTCACAGCTTCAGTACTGTAGAACCGCACTACAGCCATGACTGACAGAGACAGAAAAATACATTCACTTTAAAGCCTGAAGGTAGAAGTATATCAGAAACCTACACACACAGACCAGTACCTGCTTTTTGACTCACACCATCCACTTCAATACAAACTGGGAGTCATCAGAACTTTAAATCACAGGGCAGATGAAGTGCCCACAACTGCAGAAGGTGCCAAGGAGGAGAAATTACACACTCCCTTAAAGCTACCCCAAATGGATACCCCAAGTAGGCCTTCACCAAAGCCAGGGAACACCCTGGGGCAGAGACTGGTCCACCCAAAGGACAAAACACCCAGACATAAACAGAGTGATATGGTGTATGCCATTAAGTGTAGTCAGGAGTGTAACGACTTGTACATTGGTGAAACTAAGCAGCCGCTGCACAAATGCATGGCCCAACACAGGAGGGCCAACTCCAGTGGACCAGAGTCAGCAGTCCACCTCCACCTGAAGGACAAAGGACATTCTTTTGAGGACAGTGAAGTCCAGATCCTCTCCAGAGAACATCACTGGTTAAGGAAGCTATTTTTGTAAAAACAGTGGTGTGATGTAAAAATAGAACACCCCTCACTAAATAAATAGAGGTGGTGGACTAAGACACAACTTGTCTTCAATCCTGTTTTGAGATCTCTGCCCAAACATGCCCACTAGGACAATAGGCATTGGTCCACAGGGGAGGATTCAAAGACAGGTAATGATGTTCTATAACGACTCAATCGAGGACATTGTTGGCCATCAAAGGACTGAAACACCACCGATGGAGATAAATATCTCCACTCAATGCCAGTCGGGCAGAGCTGATGAAGCCTCTCGATGACAGGTGAAACGTCTTCGACCTAAAAACCTAGTCCAGTTGATATGCTCATCTTATTGTGACCTGGATGACTGAGAATCTACACGGACATATCCCATCTTACTAAATCAGTAAGTGCATTCTACCTTAAGAGACCACAGAAAAGTCAAAGGTCAATACTTCAGAACAATGATACTTAAGGATTCTCATATCTTCTCACTGAGGTTGACCTTAATCTCCAGTTCAGTTTAAGATAAGCAAACAGAGAGCAGGCCACTCTGCTTGTGCCATGTCTCCCCCTCAGTGTTGCAAGTATGCAAACATGAAATAGTGTCACAATGAACATTCCACCTGGACAGTAAACCAAGCAGCCTAAGGTTCATCTACTTTTATATCTAAAATCCATTAGTAAACTTATATATTTCCCTAAAGTAGCATAACAGTCTACCCAGGCAAACCGTTCAAATAGTAATAAATCATTGTTGGCCTGTGTTTTCATTCAAGCCTTTCACAAAAAAGTATAACGTTTGGATTTTAAATAGTTCAGCTTTTATAGCTCATTCATTGCAATGACAATTGTCTCTGTAATAAACTAGTTCAGCTGTAAATACTCAGGCTCCTGACTACTGGGTCACTATTGTGTGCACGCTGCAGGTCACAGCACATTCAGAAGCTTTCAGTTAGCCCTTAACAACATGGAGTGCACATACTGTAGATCTCTACTAAGATTGATTGTATTAACCTATCCTATCAAGTAACCACACGGAGTTTACAGAGAATACAGCTGCTAAATGTGTCGTCTAAGTGATGTCACCTAACAGCAAAACTGTGTTCTGATATATTTACAGTATGGTCTGTTTCCTCTTTGTTGCCTTTCTTCTCTGTCTAAAAGCTAACGTAAACTTGCTAAAGAGCAGCAGAGCTAGCTGGTAAAATTAGCCAACTTACGAATAACGAAGTTAACTCTTCGAGTCGAGTTGCTGCTCTCAACCTGGAGTCTTGGGGATACCTGTGCTCCTCTTAAATGGACTAAAGGTGGGCTGTTTGGTTGAGGTCGCAACACTAAGAAGACTGATGGACTGACCTCTGTACGCACGTGGGAGCCACCCGAACAGTGCGCATGCGCGAGGTCTACTCCATTGAACTTTGTGAGTGGATTCAGAGTAAAATATTGATAGTCAAATATATTGGCCAAGTATGTTGAACACATAAGGAACTTGTCTCCGGTACAGAACCGAGGCTGTCATCTGCGGTGCCAGCGCTCTCTGTCCCTGCAAGGCGCTGACTTGGCCTTCGGGAGCAACTTGGGGTTCAGTGTCTTGCCCAAGGAAACTGACATGTGGACTAGGAAGGATGGGGATCAAATCGCCGACCTTTCGGCTAGGAGACGAACTCTGTACCTGGTTTAGCACGAGGTTGAATTCAGAAAGTCAAAAAGTAACCAGTCGCATATTTAGAAAGTTAATGAAAGGTGTGTTGTCTTACATGCTTCTACTTGAAAGTTTATTTAATGGTATTGTTTCTGAGATCTTGGAACACAGAGTATTTGCAAGACATGCAAACTGTGTATTTAGTGGAAGTGCTAAAATAAACTACTCCCACACACAGGCGCTGCAGTCTTAGATATATTTAATAAATTAAAGCCAAGGTAGAAAAAAAAAAACAATGTACATTTCATATCTCCCTCCCCTCAACCACCTACTAGTTTCTTCAAACTGGGACAAACTGTTTTATCTTCATACTGTACCTCAGAGTGAGACCACAGAACAGACTGAGGATCAGTGTTTAATGTCCAATCACTCACACTTCAAATCTTCAGATCAGGCTCTGAAGCAGGACAGTTCACTCTCTAGAGCAGATCCTTGCCTCCAGTCTAAATCAGGTTTTTGTGCAGTGATTTCCGCACTGAATATGTTGGTCCCCTTAACCCCCCCCAGCAAAACACAAACATGCTACATGTCTGCAGGCACCTCGGATAAAACAGAAGGATCAGACTGAGATATGGTTTTATCAGAGACCACAGAGTGTTATAAAATGTCAACGGTTCGTGCTGATTCAATAGACAGTGTATTTTACAGTCATAACATCACTTCACCAATAAGGTCTCTGGCGTAATGGGTGAGCATAGAATGTTGGTGGTCTTTTAGTTACAAATGCTGAGTAACCTTCTCAAAAGGTTTTGTTACTGAACTCTAATCCTTCTCTGTCCTCTCCCAGGCAGTGACCCATGAAACCAGTTGAGTGGCTTGTGCAGTCGAGTGGCTTTGTTATGAGCAGTAGTCGTGTCAATAACAGACAGATGGCTGAGTTTAGTCAGTGATTATCACATTCCAGATGATAAGGTTTAATAGATGTGTGTGACTGCCAGTGAGCAGCAGAGGTGAAATACCGGATGTGCCTGGTCAGTCTTTAAGAAAAGAGTAGTCTCAATGAGTGTGGCATGAAGAAATGAATGGCCTCTGTTTAAAAGGCGGGAAGAAGTTACGTATTCATGTGTATTGTAGGTCCAATACAAGTGCACTGAACAAGTTGAAAAAGATACACCTATGCACCTGTGCACACAAACAACCTCTCAAACATACAGGTATGAACACGCGTAAACTCAAGTACACAAAGGTGTTCACCAATAAATGTTAATATGCACAACTTGATTAATATTTTTGCACGAATACAGTGACTAAGCAGTCCAACAGCATTAATAATCCCTCCAAACACTCAGTTCCCTTCTCAGTTTCCAACCTGTGCCCTTATCCTCTCTGCCAGCTACTGTCATTCCTTTACCCTCCAGCCATCACTCCAGGCAGTCCTGCTTTACCTAAGGAACGACAGCATAAAGACCACTCTCTACAACCCAAAGAGACTGCAGTATGACAGGGTAGGACTGTATGTACATGAGGTACAGCCCCATAGACAGAGGGCTAGGCAAGAGAACAGACCGTTTTTAGTCCAGGTTATGTGGCCTTCGACTTTTTCTCCACTCATACAACTACAAATGCATAGCAGCTAAATTGCCAAAACATTTCATGATAATCTGACAATGCAGAGATGACGGGGGCATGGGAGGGAGTAAATATTATCATATTTAAAGTTATTTTTCCAGCAGAAACCCCTCCTCACACTGGTTCTTCTCTCTTCCCATTAGCAGCAGCAGGGCTGACGACCACCATCTTTCTATACGTCTATACATATACATTTATAAATTTCTCTGATTTATTTTGGAAAATTATATGTCAAGTGGCTACATATGATACCACTGCCATTTCACATAGATGCTAATCACTGGGAAATAACCTAGGAGCCACAGGTTGCTCTAGAAAGGCAGAAAAAGACACAGATAGAAGGTGGCGGGAGGCAGCATGCTGGGAGTGCTGCTCAAAGCTCTTCTAAAGGAAAGACCTTTAAATAAGAGGCGAGAGGAAGGGGAGAGAGAAGACAATCTCAATCTCAGGACAGAAAAAAATAAAATCAGACCAAAAAGGACAGCCTCCCTAAAGCCACCAGAGATTTAGTGTTTGTTCATAAATCCAATGGCAGGTCGGTGCTGGAATGGTTCCATCTCCTGGTCTACAGATGGGCAGGTTATCGTTACAATCATTTCTTCTCTGGGTTGGAGAAAACTGTGTTGTTGTGGCATCCAGCTGTTTCCACTGAAGGCATAGGTCATGGTTAGGTGAAAGTTCAAGGGTAGAGTTTCAGTATTCAGCGGCGTACTCTGTACCATGGAGCCCTCTGCACAGCAGTGTGAACTCCTTCACTATGTCCTTCACCCTTCTCTTGTTGACTCGTTCTCTGCATGGCAGTGGAGGCAGCAGAGAGAGCAACAAAAAGAGGAGAAATACTTGCAATTATAAACATATAGTGTATATGAGAAATCATGGGGTGGACCAGCTGGATGGAATTGTTAGATAATAAGCCTGTAATGAAATGTCTGAAAGCGTACCTGAGTATCTGCTGTGAGAAGCTGTCTTTCTGTTCAGCTGTGAGCCGTGATGATGGGAACCCTGGAGGCTGCAGTGCCTCCTTCAACCACACAGCCAGCAGAGAAAAGCAGTGCTTATTTAGACAGAAAAGCACTTCTGCAAACTGGTCCATCAGGCTCCGAGATGCCCCACCCCCGATGCCCTGAAGAGAGGGGAGGAGGCATTTTACATCAGGAGCTTAACGACCGCAAGAGAGGATGAAAAATTTGGAGTGTGATAACACAGCAAACTGCAGCATCAGTGAAACGATGCAACTTTTCAGTGGTGTGATGTGTAACTGTGGCGCTTCTCACCTCCAGCACGGCCTGTACTAAGATTTTTCCATCCTCTTGCACCACCCTGGCTAATGGAGGCACGTCTGAGCAGTGAGGTAACAGCTCAGTCTGAGACAGACACAAGGAAAGCCAAGTGACTCATTTGCATCTAAAGTGATGGTTATAGTTAACATTCATGTGTTTGCAGGGTTTTCAGTTGTGTGCGCTCACAAAGAACAAGCACGCTGACTTGACTGTGGGCGCTTCAGGAAATTTGAGTGACAGAACTCCTAGAAGTGCGAGAGGGAGATAGAAACAAATATATTACTGAAGGCTGGTGTCCAACATTTACAGTGTGTACTTTGTACTGACAGCCACATATTTCACAGGAACTGTAGCAAAACACCCAGTGCAGTGTGTAGGGTTGTGGGTTTGTGTAAACAATGTGCAAACTTACCACAGTGGAACACTGCCTTCACATCAAGACTCTCAGACAAGAACAAATCAGGCTTCCGTTTGAGGGCCTAGGAAGCAAATAAAGGCGTTAAACAGAGTACGTTTCAGTTGGTTTGACCCATTCGGTGCTGCTTCACCATATTCCACTGCATAAGCTCATTCAAAATACTGCTATCAACAATATCCACTCAGCCTGATAGCCGGATCTGGAAGCAACACTAGACTGAGACCAGATCTGCCTACCAGGCTATAGTTCTCTCTCAGTCTGTTTAAAAAAACAAAAAACAGAACTATATCCAAACTCATGGAGATCCTCCAATGCAGAACTCAGCAGGTATAACAAACAAATTACAAAAAAATCAAACACTGAAATCATTAGAAACATAAGTCAAATTAAAGGCAATGATGATTTTGGCTCTGTTTCTTCAAATCAGTCTAATTTGTAACTACTTTTCCTTGTTTTTGCTTGAATGGATTAAATATGCAACAAAAGTGTGTAATTAACATCTGCAGATAAAGAGAAACAACTCATCTTGTAATAATGAACTCATTCAGGATGGAGGAGAGGAGAGAGGGAGACAGGGAAAGGGAGAGAGATGGTCAGATCCATCCAGAGATAGAAAACAAAAGGAAGAAGAATGAAGACAGAAGACAAAAATAGAAAACAGAAGAGCCATCAGCCAATTTGTCTGAACCGATTAATATTAGTTGAATATTAATTCATTTGGGCTTTGATTGGCTCTGGGCCGGAATGACTTCAGAGGAGGACTGGGCTGAGACTAACCAGTCACCTGGGACCACAGCGCTGATACAGATGACTTCTCAACAACGCTGAATCAACGAATGTGTATCATCTAAGAGTGTGCTGTTGTATTACAAGCAGCAAATGTGCCCTGATGTTGACTTTACAGCAAAAAGAAAAACCATTTATAAAGGGTTTCATGCATGACAACTTTACGCTAGTGCTTATTTATCCATTTTCTAAACAGCATGTAGAACAGTGTAATAAATTACTCCAACAGAGGAATTTCTCTGTGCGTCACTAGTGTTTCCTGACAACTTAGGTTTATGAAACACCTCTAAAACCTTGTAACAGTAAAAAAAAATAAAATGCACTGTCATCTAGCAAAAAAAAAACCCAACTACTTTGTCTTAGTTACCAAGTAATTGAAAACAAAAAGTTTTCACCAAGTAGCACGTTTACACACTGATTTTAATTAGTTTCTTAGAAATTCCTGGCCAATGAGAAGAAACTTCACATCATAACACCCTACCATGTCAGTGTGATGTCAGTGTCATCAGAAAAAACCCTCCTAAGGTCAGTACCATGTTTATGTGGCGAGGTGACTGTTAGAATCAAAAGTGTTTGAGGAGAGCCAGTCGTCTCTTTTTCCAAACACTCCCCTCACATTTCATTCCGCCGCCTTGACTGTGTGATGGGACCCCTTAGGGTCCAGTAACAAAGCACAGAAAGAACTACAGAGGAGAAGAGGACAGAGAAAACAGTGAGATGAGAGAGAAAGAGAGAGAGAAACCCAAAGTGAATGAAATAAGAAACCAAAAACACACCTGAGCTTGGAGTTGCATAAATGAATCAACAATATCAGGATGATCCCTGGGTCCTAAAATATAATAAAGATGAAACTTAAGAAATCATAAGAGAATAAGAATAATATACAAACAGCAACTGAATAGATTCAACAGTCATGTGGAAAGCAAAGAGAACTCAAAAATATTTCATCGAAATAATTCACACGTGAGTAAGGAACAAAGGGGGGGAAAGGGTGGGGGTGGGGGGGGCATATGAAGCTTTGGCAGAGTACTGGAAGAACAGACCAACCAAAAAGAGAAAACTGGCAGAAGACAAAGACATGGGTCTTTTTGGAGAGAAACAAAAATTAAGAAGTAAAGAGAAAAAGAACAAACATAAAGAAATAAAAGTGGGTTTGGAGTGGGAACCCAGGAGGCACCTCTGTTACTGTGACAGTTTGGAGGAAAAGGGGCACCAAACCTGAAAGAGCCCCTTGTTCACCTCCTTCCCCTCATTTCTTCTCAGATTTAAATAAGTGCCTCTGATGGGGGGAGGTGATGATTAAGGAGCCATTCAGAACTGGTCAATAAGATCCCCTTTGCTTCAAAGGTGAACCCATGGCCATCAGTATGAAATCACACTCAAGGATCAGGATAGGTTCCAAAATCACTACCTCCATTATGCTGGACACAGACTACAAGACTGCCATACTTTAAAAGTATGACAGATTGCAAATGCTGCTCAATTAAACACATAATTCCTGCTTCTCAACTGAAGAATCCACATTGAGATTCCTGATTTTTCAAACATGATTTAGGAGTGATGTTGGAGAGACTCCAACAACAGACTTGTAATGAAATAAAATGCCTGTAGTGAGCGCCCAGCTTTAGCTGTTCCCAGACTCCAAACAAGTTTCCTGCTCAGTGCCCCCAGAGTGTATTAAGAAGGAGAGTGGTGACATCTCCATTGACACTATTAAGGACCATTTTTTTTACAGGAATGGTGGATCATTGGAACGTCAAATAGTTTCAAACATTAGCAGCAGTGCCACAGTTACATCGAACTGACTGCTGTCTAATAAAGTAAGAAGCTGAAATCAATAGCAATAATTATATTGGTGACATTTTATGTTAGCGACATATCAAAACATGTCTAACAACCTACTGACTATCCCTGTCAAATATGGAGTCACTTTAATAAATAGTTACCTAGCTAACTAGCTATATTAGCTGGGCTATCTACAACAACAGAACGTGAAATAATTTGCAAGGCTGTACAAGTAACTGTTGATAAATCCTGCTATTCTCTATAAAAAAAAACAATTGATCTTAATTAACTGTTTGGAACTATTTTAAGCTCCATGAGACATGTGACCTGCTGCCATTTTTGTAACTCCACCACCACCACACACAGCCCTTTGACAGACTCCAGGGCCTATTCAGAGGGCTACGATGGAGAGCCTGACTCTAATCCTAGTGCAGCAGTGGATTGAGCCGGCCTGCTCTGCTTATGTTATATATCAGCCAACTGAATAAGCTACTGGTCTCTGTGCTGCAACTGATATTATCTATTGAAGGGCACCTGTTCAGAAAAGAAAGAGTTTAGAGGCAGCAGGAGAGGCAGCCATTGCTTAACCAGTGAAAGCATTAGAGGAGGAGAGGGGAAAGGGGACAACACAAAGGGAAGGGGAGCAGCAGACGGTGCTGGTGCAAGTACTCTAAGCCAAACGCAGTACAGTAAATCATCTCATTGAGGTCCATGTGAAAATCTGAAAATGAATGTGGCCCCAAGGTCACGAGGCCCTGGTCAACTTGAACACTTTACAAAATGAAAGCCATTTTCATGCAGCCCAAACACAAACACTTCATCCATCCAGAACTCCGTAACTGTGAAAAATAAATGACTTAAAAATTGAACTAATCTGAACAATGTAGAATATATTCCAACATGTTGTTCGTAAAGGGCAAAGAATGTGTTTAAAATGATTTAAAATCTATGATCAGTGGCAGCAGAAGTCTGTATTGATGCAATCATCAAATGAGACTCGGTCTTTCCAACAGAAGAAGCAGACAGACCACTTACATTAATGACTGCAAATGTTTAAAGGTAAAATGTAATAACGGAGACAAATCACCTCTGACCTTTTGTAATGTTCCTGTTTATGACTCTCAGGCTGACCATTTTTATTGTCTAAAAGTGAAGCTGGACATCAGCATTTATATACAATCACAGCTGGGGGAGTATGGGGTATGTCAGTCATAACATACATAAAATATCACTTTTAAAAATTTGCTAATAATGTCACTCTTCTCCTCCACACAGAGACGTGACTTTGGACGCTGTGAAACCAAATTTGATCAGAACCAATCAGAGGTCTACCACTGATTTAAACAGTTCAGTGTTCACAGTCCCACCCATGCTGGACCCCCTACCTTGCTGGAAGATGGACAGTGTTACTGAGGTAACCAGCTCAAACAGAGCCTTGATGGGTGGAAAGTGGTCTGTCTCACTGGCAAAGATATGCACCATCTGAAACACCAGGACTTCAAATCAGACACTTGTACACAGGAAACCATGCTACTGTGAGGAAGACAGTCTGCAGCAGGAAAATCTAAGAACATCTTTACATGAACTGTGGTTTCATGATTAATGTAAAAACTGTGTTTACCTACAACTGGTAGAGTTTACAAATAACCCACTGGGTAAAGAAAAAAAAAACTTAATATATAATGAATATGACATAAGTAAAACATAACTTGAAATTTAATTATAAATGAGATTTAGTCTTGCAGTATGAGGTCTAACAAATGCTGCTTAAGAATCCAGTCATGAACACACTGGGTAACGGTTTACAAACTTAGTGCGCCCTCATTAATCTTGGTCTCATTGGTGTGTCCCTTATTAGTTCATACCTGACTGACAAAGCTCTAAAGTGTACTGGTATGTAACCACATAGTAACAAATGAAGACTACTCATGTTAGTGAATGCCATTGTGCAGGTGAACAGTAGGAGTGTGTACCTGTCGTGTAAGGTCAAGGGCTGAGGCTTGGGGAATTGTACTGTACATCTGTCCAAGCATCTCGCTTAGCTGAGACACCATGGGAGCAAACTCATGGAGCAGAGTCTTCACCGACTTCTCAAAGATGGCGCACACCGCCTGAAGAACAGCATGGGATCAGCTCCATGCAAATGTCATCAAACCTCTTTATTATTAGTCGGCCAATTTCTGGAAAGCAAAGGTCTGACTACACGTTGATTACTTACCTCCACAACCTGCGAGTCGTTGAGCCACTTGCTGAGTACGGTCTGTATGAGAGCAAACACTTGTTGCAAAACCACCACTACCTGGAACACACAAACAAAATGAATCAAATTTAAATTCAATGATTAAAAAGCAAAGTCATTAACGAGAAGTAGCATTACACATTGGCATTTACACACACGTGCATGCATATCAGCACAGTTACTAATGACGATGGTTGAGTGCCCGGGCAGAATTGTTTACCACCTTCACCTCTTCAACCAGCAGCAAACTACCTCTGCAGAGAGGGAGTGCAGCTCATAAGCCTGTGAGCGCCATGTGTCCTGCAGCGTTTCACAACTACTGTACCAGAATTTTGTGTACTACATTACAATTTCTTTACATGGATAATACTGTACGTTTACACTGGCCACCATCGGTCCTAAAAAGATTCAACCTACTGCTGATAGCAAATGTACTTGTTTAATTGCTCAACTGTACTAATGAGATGGTGACTGACCGGGTTTGGTCCAGGTGTGGGTGGGGCTGTTTTGACTGGTGGAGCTGAGCCGTCCGCTGACTCGTCATCCTGCTTGCTGATATCAAGAGTGGTGAACAGGTTGGACAGCAGCCCCAAGATGTGGATGATTGCTAACTTATTAGAGGGATTGGGCTGAAGAAAGGGAAAAACAAACAACAAAAAAACCCCAAATTATTTTAATTAAGAATTTGCTCATATACAACCCAAGTCCCCTGTCCATCCGACTCGTTTAGTCCATTAGCATTTGCCTTGAAAAGTAATACCTTTAAAAGCTAGACATGCAGTTTGAAAATAGACAGGAGGTACCCCCACAATAAAAAAAAACAACATTAAATGTGGGTTTGGTAAGTAAATTAACAAAAAAACAATCCCAATTCTGATAATTAATCACTTTATCCATTAAGTCACTTACATTGAATAGTCTGACTTTTCCTGTTGGTCAGAGACTAAAGTAACTAATCTAAAACTCATAATTTGAGGCAATTAACATTATTTTGAGTAATTAACAAAGAAAGTAATTATTTAAATCACTAAAACAGATATCTAATTAATTTCAATGATAAATAATGGTCAAGTATTTAAGCAGCATGTCAGAGAAAAGGTACTGCCTCGATTTTCATACCAGTTTTCTCACTAACAGTACATGAGTTCTTTAATGCTCGACAGTCAGTTTTTGCTGTCAGCCCGTCGGACATCAAGACCATTCACCTCTGATGTAACAGAACCTGAAGGTCTCCCCACTAGGTGCCACCCTTTGTCTGGCTCCAGACACAGCACCTGATTTCCTAGTCTGATGTAATGCCAATACTTCAAAAAGAGAGTCTTAACGGATGGATGAAAATCTATGTGCTGTGCAGAGAGCGGAGGGATGAGACAGACACACAAAAAGAAATGAAAAGCTTCATTTGAGCTGACAGCTCTATTCACCCCAGTTGAAGTCTTTACTGACTATACAGCAAGGGATCAGAAGAAACGAGGTATGGATGCTGACTCAGCATCCATACAATTCTAATTTGTTCAACACACAACAGATATCAAACTGTGTATTTTTAGATAAGGACACTTGTACTAATCAGAGTTAGATATCTGAAAATCCGGCCTCCATTAGACCCGACATTTAAAGACGGTGAAGCCGTTTCTTTTGCATGACTATGTACATTTACATGTAAAAGCATGACCTACTGCGATTATGTGTACAGGCATTTTTTTTATTTTCTGATCTCTGAAGTCATTGTGCTGGGGTGTGCATGTCTGTTTGCATGATGGAGGCAAAGTGTGTCTTCAGTACTTCTATGTAAGTCACTAATCCTGGTGCAGAATCAAATCCAATCTGGTCCCACAGAGAAATGTTCCACTGCAGTGACACCACACAGACACGAGGCCTGTTCCTAGTGACCAGAGTCCAGCTCTGCCTACTCTGTGCACTTTGTTTTTAGTACGCACCGTCTCATCAGCTAGCTTCTCCAGCTGCTGAATGTAGGGGGTGATGAGAGAGTGAAGGTTTCTTAAGATGTCTTCCACAGGGAGAGCAGAGAGAAGGAAGCCAAGAGCCTGCATCAGCCACATACACTGACTTGTCTGCAGGCAGAGACAATGATGGTAAGGTTTACTTTCAGTTCAAGTGAGCAGACAGCTTAAAGGCATTACACTGTACAGACAGCACAAACACATTTCTGACATGTCATCCTTAGGCTACAGGCTGCAAACATGCTACATCATTCTTTCACAACATTCCTTATTAAATATCATTTCTGAACTGAATGCCAAGACAAAAAGACAGTGCGAATGTGACACACACTGACCTTGTGGATCTGCTTTATAAGCACCTCCTTGAGAGAAAATAGAGTCAGAATGATAGTTATATTATTATGAAAGCACAACAAACCTTCTCAAACTGGAAATGAAAAGTACTCTTAAGTGTTGACATGGGAACAGGAAAAACTGAATTTCTGGCTATTCACATGAGTGTGTGCCGGAATCTCATTTGCTGGACATTAGCGTGCAACCTTATGTCCTTTGTTTGTCAGGTGATATTGTGCAGCGGTGGTAACTTGTAACACTGCTAATCAGGCTTTATCGCGCTTACACTTACACAGACAGTCACTTGCCTGTTATGCTGAAGAACCATGGCATCAGAATACGCTGTACAGGTCACGGTTACACTCAGCCACACTCCCAAATTGGGTTTTCCACAAACCCGAGCACCAGTGGATCCAGTAATAACTTTGTTCAGGCTTCTGACTGACCAATATGACTGTATGGTTAGGGTTACCCCACTGGTTGCTGGTTTGACATACTCTTGACAGCGCGTTAATTGTGTTTTCATGTGGACAAAGATTTCTTTTTTTTTTTACGACACTGTATGTTTGGATGTGATTTTTTTTTTTTTTTTTTAAAACAAAGGATGAGAAACTCCATTTTTAAAAATGCCCGTGTATGTAAATACTATTTCTGGATGCTCGATCAACGTGGTAGAAAAATCCATCCAACCGGTGACATCTAAATGAAGTAGTGGACATGCGTGTACGTACCTGAGAGACAGCTACTATGTTAGTTGCGTAGGGTGGCAGGTCATATTTGCATTCTCTACAGATTTTCTTGAGGGTAGAGACGGATGAAACCGAAAGGTCTGGGTTCCCTAGAGCCTGAAGAACCAAGGGCAAGACGCTGCTAAGCATCACTGGGTGGTCTGCCAACCATTCAGCCAGAGCCCCTAGTGGCAGATTAAATGTTCAGATACTGAATGAGAAACCATTTGCTTCCTGGCGGAAGCTGCACTGCACAGTTTGTTCTATCTTACCTATTGTGAACATAACTGTGTCCGCTAACTGGATGTTGTTGATGTTGATTCTAGGGATAATGCCAATAAGGCCTGGGATGACGTCAGAGTAATTTACATCTATTGTCTCTGCTATGGACTGGAAGCCATACAGCAAAGCTTCTGTGTGCTGTGGGGGGGGGAAACACAGTCAGTTGATTTGTAAGTAGAAGTTGACAATAAAAAAAGTGCAGTTTGAATAAAAACATTTACATGAAAACAATGAAAATAACATTAAAATAAACCTCAAGATAATATTGAAAGTAAGTGTGCATGAATTTTATGGAGGACAACAAAAGTCAAATATTGTGAAAAATTAAAAAAAGAAAGAAAAAGACCTAGTCTTGAAAAGCAGGTTTAATTAAATTTGGCATTACACTTATTTAGAACTTTCCAATGGCTTCAATAATCAAAGAGAAAATAGTTCATATTTTCTCCTTGCTCGTCTCTGTGTATGTCTCACCCACCTGCCATGACATGGGTTGTTCTGCATTAGTCAACAGTCTTCCTAGTTTATCATACAGGTTACTCAGCAGCTCTGCTCCCAGCATCTCATACACATACATGAGTGTGTCCGAGATATCCACTCTGAAGGACAGATAAGGACACACAGACATTTCTGTTAATCTATTTTCCACAAAGATTCTGCTTTCTCAGCTGCCAGTCCAGTGAGAGTATATTAGAGATAAAAACACTCATTTGCTGACTAATCATCTTGTCACAAGGTAACTTCTGAAACCCCCAGGCCTTCACTAAAACACTTTGCACACAACAATGCACAGCAGGAGGAGGCATGTACAATATCCAGAGAAAGGGTCAGGGATACAAATGTGCACGCACACATACACACCTGTAAATTCTGAACTGCTCTTTCTCATCTGAGGACCAGGTTGCGTACTCCTGATCAGAGGGGAACTGGGCTTTGTGTAGCAGAACATCCACCAACTGGAAATACACTGGCCTGTAGACCTGCAGATACACTGCCTGCTTATCTGACTCAAACGACATAATTTCATCCTGAGAAAAGAGGGATAATAACAAGGATTGGTCTTGGGTTGGAACAAAAATCAAGTACAGTATGCACAGCTTAAACCAAAGGCTATTCACAGACACTCATGTAAATATCAGATTTTATTTAACACTTACCACTCTGAGGAAACACCACCATTATCTTATGTCTATAACATTACATTGTCAGCTCACATACACCAAGAAAGTGATTGCAGTGAATAACAGAGGAGGCAAAAAGCAAATGACAGGCTGCCACATTTTATAATTTCAAAGCTGTAGAAAAATACCAGTGGGGCCCAGCAATTTGCACATTTATCCAGTCAGGATGTGCAGGGGAAGTTCATGTTAATGATTTTATACATGTGTGAAAATGGTTTCAGCCAGTACTTACGGAACCTTGCAATGGCACAATGAGCAAAGCTTATTTTGTGGGCCGGTTTTAACATTTCTTACTTGTAGTGTGTACCAGAAGGTGAGTGTGAGGGAGCTGGTGGTCTCGTTCACCGGGTAGTGGCCAGGGATGCCTGTACAAAACATGATCATGTTGACTAAAGCCAGGAAGCTTTGCCAATGATCCACCTGCTCCAACAGAGTCCTAGAGAGAGGTGTGGGTACAAGGGAAAG